GACCGAATGGTAATGGAAAAACCAACCGGACATTGTGGTGGTGGACAAAAAGCAGAGGAAAGCCATTGTGGTTGACATAGCAATACCAAGTGACTGCAACATCAGGAAAAAGGAACATGAGAAACTAGAGAAATACCAGGGAAGAGCTGGAGAAAACCTGGAAGGTCAAGGCATCAGTGGTGCCGGTGGTCAATGGGGCACTCGGGGCAGTGACCCCAAAACTTGAGGAGTGGTTACAGCAGATCCCTGGAAATCAGGCATCTCTGTCTAGATGCATGCAGTTCTAGGAACAGCAAAGACACTGCTCAGAACCCTCAAGCTCCCAAGTCCATCAGGATCTTTGCTCTTCCATTCTCCATCACCTTGGGAAGTGACTCCCATTTTGACCTGGGGAGTCTCCAGTTTCTACTCTGCACAGATGTTTCTGTACACCACACTAGCCAATATGCAGAAACAGAAACACCTTTGCAGAATACAAAAGAAAACTGGATAAATCCATGTCAAAATCCATTTTTTGCCTCTTAAAAGTTACATAAGAACAAAAAATTATTATTGAATATTTCACATTAATGTAAACTCTTTAGCAGTCTACAGACAAAGAATATATTTAATCAATAATATTTAATCAATATTTAAATATGCATATATTTGGATGCTTAGGCAGGTGGCGTCACTGTGATTATCACATTTCACCGACAGGGGGCGTCCGCGCTACTTTTTTGAAAGCTGTGCGCCGTTGGTGATTTCTCAATGTGCAATGGCTCTATGCACAGCTCCACTACTTCCTGAATTTAAGGCAGCTCCTTTGTTTCCTGTCTTTCATTACTGGACGAACTGATTAATCCAGGTGTGTCTGGCCAGTTACTTAGGTCATACACACCTGGATTAATCAGTGCATCCAATCATGAAAGACAGGAAACAAAGGAGCTGCCTTAAATTCAGGAAGTAGTGGAGCTGTGCATAGAGCCTATTTGTTTAAAAAAAATGTTTTGGGTCGAAGCGTCCCTGTAAGGAGGAAATACATCAGATTCTGATTTATTGGTGAGTTTAAATAACCTTCACCTTACTATAAAAAGCCTAGTAGTGCGTACTGTTTGATATTTACAATATTATTACCTTGTTTACATGAATGTGCGTCCCTATAGAAAAACATATTTGCGATACAAACATTTTTTGTTCTGAAAAAATGTTGACACTTGTAATTCTTAAGGAAACAAAGGTTATAAGGTGGGCTGCAGCCTAATATAATATAATTCTGTTTTTATAGTTTTACTGGGTTCCCTAATAAGTCAAATGAAGCAATACTCTAAACACATCATCTTCCCATACTCTGTTTAATTTATCACAACTGTTTCTCTAGATCAGTGAGAAAATCCATCCATCCATTGGACAAAGTTTCTGTTTCTTCATTTTCTGCTCTTTTAGTGGCCATTAAAAGTAGAAAAACAGAATGTTTTAGTCTTTAGGAAAAGCACACATTAGGCTCAGTAGAAAATCATTTACTATGTGGCATCTACCCAGAACTTGTTTTGTTATTATGTGTCTCCTCTGTATCCTCAATGGCTGCTTCCAACTTACTGGGCTGCAGTGCCTCTTTTATCTTCATAACAACCATCTTTCTTGTTCTTGGCACAGATTCATCAGAACGTTTCGAACAGTCCTCCCCTCAAAGCTGCTTATTAGGCTCATTCATACTCTGTGCCACTCTGAATTTGAGCTGAAACAGAGTGTGCTGAACTTGCTTTTGAGGAAACAATCTCTTTGCTCTGTTGCAACTTTGGAAGAGACAATATGACCTATATTTCAACATTTCCTCAAGTACAGTAAGGATCACTTTCACTTCTAAAGCGTCTGTTGTTGTTTTTTCTGAGTGCAGCTTGTCAGGCTTCTTCCTTCAGAGCTATCAAATAATGTTTGAAGATCTGCACCACGCGGCTGTGGGTTCCCTGTTTGGGATTACTGTTCTCCTGCTGCTCCTTCACCTGCTTTACTTCAGCTTCCCAGACAGAAGGGATCCTCCAGGACCCAGACCTCTTCCTCTGTTTGGTAACCTGTTCCAGGTTGATCTGAAGAGGCTTGACTACAGCCTTTTTGAGGTAATTTGTTTTTATATATATTTGACATTTTCCAAAGTCATTTTTTGTTTGTCAGTCTCATATTTAGCTGATTTCTATTGTCAGCTGTCCAAAAAATATGGACCCGTGTTCCAGGTCCACTTTGGGCTGAAGAAGGTGGTGGTCCTGGCAGGGTACAGGACTGTCAAAGAGGCTCTGGTGAACCATGCTGAGGAATTTGGAAACAGAGACATCACACCAATATTTTACGATTTTACAAAAGGAAATGGTCAGATTGATTTATTTTTACCCAAGGTTCAGGAGTTATTGCCATTTCTCTTCAAACAAGTTGCCCTAATCTGTTTCCAGGTATTTTATTTTCCAATGGAAACTCATGGAGGGAAATGAGACGTTTTGCCCTCACAACCCTGAAAAACTTTGGAATGGGGAAGCAGATGATTGAAGAAATAATCATTGAGGAATGTCAGCACCTCATTAAAGAATTGGAACAATTTGAAGGCAAGTTTATATTTTTATACATCAGACAAAACACACATTTAAAAAATAGGTTATTATGCTTATGTTTTTTCCCCCACAACAATGAAAAGGGTTAAACAGGACAGTCAGCAGAAATGTTTATTGTAGAAGTTTGTCATCCTTTCTGTTAGATAATGAAAGTATAATATAAATAGTACGTTTTATAAAAAAAATTATACATTTATTTATCTTGCATGTATTTCATATTTCAAACAATAAATGTTCTAAGATTGCATTTTATCTTGTCCAGATTATTATAGACTAGATTCTTCTTTAAATCAGATGTTCTTTTGCAAAAAAACGAACTTTGTTAGAGCTTTTAAGTAAAATGTAGAATACTATATTAATATTGGCCTGATATCAAGCAAAAAAATCAGATTATATCAGCCTGCAATTAAAAACTCCTATATTGCTGTATGTGTGTGTGTGTGTGTGTGTGTGTATATGTATATATATATATATATATATGTGTGTGTGTATGAGTTCATGTTTATGTGAGCTGTTGGTTATTAATAAATGGTTCAGTTATCATACCTGTCGTTGCTATTGTTCTGTTTGCATAGTGTCATTTGATCAAACCTCTTCATACATTCCACATTACAAAGTAATTATTAAAAGTATGCATGATGCATGTTGATATCTCATCGGGTCAAAATCGGTATCAAATGTGCAACAGCTACATTGGATGGGAAATGAAAATGTATTTTGAGAAATCCCTACATCTTGGTGTGAAAAAGTTGATGCACGAATACATTTCACGACACTATAACATATCATCCTGAAAAATTTTAATGTAAAAAGGTCTTGCTTGTGACTTTTTGATTTTATTTCTAACAGGTCAAGCCTTCAGCAACACCCAGCCTATCAACTATGCTGCTGCTAATGTTATAGCAGCCACCGTATTTGGTAAAAGATTTGATTACAAGGACCCGAATTTCCAAGCTATGGTGGATAGAGATAATGAGATTATATATCTGACAGGAACAGTTTCCTTGTTGGTATGAAGGAAAAGCATTGTTTTATAAGAATATGTGCATAATAACAAGGTTGTACCATTGGTTTTGGCATGGCTGTTAATTTGTCCTGATTAGTTTTATTTTATGATTCTTTTCCAGATATACAACTTTTTCCCTTGGTTGGGTCCTGTCCTTAAAAACTGGAAGAATTTGATGAAGCATGTGGAAGATGGGAAGGCGGATGCAAGGAAGATGATAGAGCAGCTGAAGCAGACCCTGGACTTGGATATCTGCAGATGTTTTGTTGATGCTTTTCTGATTCACAAAAGACATCTTGAGGTGAGAAATCCAACCTCAAGAACTTTGCACTAACAGTGCAAATGCAGATGGGTAATTTATTTATTTTTTGGATGTTGCAAAAGGATTCTGCCATAAAGAACCCACACTTCCATGATGATAACCTGCTCTACAGTGTGGCAAACCTATTTGCAGCTGGAAATGATACGACAGGAAATACGCTGAAGTGGTGCCTCCTTTACATGGCCAAGTACCCTCACATTCAAGGTTCTAAAACAAACATTCTTCAGGTGATGGTTTGCTTATTAAACATTATGTAGTGTGATGATTTGCTTTCAATGTGCATCCAGTGCGGGTTCAGGAGGAACTGAGCCTGGTGGTCGGAAAGCGGCAGGTTAAAGCGGAGGACAGGAAGAACTTACCGTACACTGATGCGGTCATCCATGAGTCACAGAGATACGCTAACATCGCGCCGATTGCTATTCCTCATTCAACCAGCAGAGATGTGACCTTTCAGGGCTACCTTATCCAGGAGGTCGGCTCTTTACATTAAACTTGGCTGTTTTTGTTTTTTTTAAATCTCATATTTGAAGAAATTTGACAGATTTTCTTTTCCCCTCTCAGGGAACTACAGTGTTTCCTCTTCTTACTTCTGTTTTATACGACGAGAGGGAATGGGAGAATCCCTACAGCTTCAACCCGTCACATTTCCTAGACAGTGAGGGTAAATTCATCAGGAGGGAAGCGTTCCTGCCCTTTTCTGCAGGTACTCTGCAGATCCTTATATTCATCTGAATTAATGTTTCACAGGCAGCATTATGTGTAATGATTTCTCTGGCTGTACTACTGTAGTTACTTTGCTGTTGGTTTCAGGTCGCAGAGTTTGCCCTGGAGAGAGTTTGGCCAAAATGGAGCTCTTCATTTTCTTCACCTCTCTCCTTCAGCACTTTAATTTCAGCCCAGCACCTGGGATTTCAGAAGATGAACTGGATTTATCTCCTGTTGTGGGCTTCACCCTCTCCCCTCAGCCCCAGAAGCTTTGTGCCTTTCTTCGCAAGTGAAAAATAAAGCTGGAACTTGAACAAGTTGCTTTGCAGATGTAGGAGGCACTTCTTTACCACAGCTGAGCCTCTTTTGTGAAGGACTATATCTGCGCAACAATAGCTGTATAAAGCAAATTTATTGGATCTTAAGTCTTCTTGTACATGAAGACTATGCATAAAGCTACATATAAAATCATACACATCACCAAAGTAATAATTAAACACTAATCTTGGGTAGTTCTAGATGTATAAATTACAAATTCTGAAATTATTTTCAAAGGTTTTATTATTTTTCTGTTTGTATTCATTTATAATCTTTGCCCTAACTGAAACAGACTGGAGACACTTTAGTGGATGTGACTACTGGCACATAGTTGAAATTCTCCTCCTGCCTTATTTAGTATCAGGGGGTAAAAACAGCACGTTCTGTACTTTTCCTTGCTTTTGTCAGATGAAATCAAGTTCATCTCTTGAGAGAGTGAGTCAGGACAGGGCGGAGCTAAACGGCTTCCTTCCACTTTTTGTTTTGATTGGCTCTCTGATATAAAGTGGATAAACTGGATCCAAAACCAGCTGTCACCCTCCCTCATCATTTGCAGATTACCTACTAAGCTCATTGTGAATTTTGGGTACGGACCTACCGACTTTGTGTCGGGACTAACTCAATGCTACGGGCCGGCCCAAGGCAAAAGAATATTTCATAGTTTTTTTGCATGTATATTAATTTCTTTATAAATATTACAAAACACAATTTACATAATCAAAAAATGCATTTTTTACAAAAAAAAAATATAGTTAACAGTTTAGAAATTATTACTTATACATTAAAAAAACAAAACATTGAGAAACGACTAGTATAAGCTTCTCAGAGACAAACTAACCGTTGCAGAACAAAGGTAAGCTTAAAATGTTTGTTATTTGATTTAATTATATACTTTTTTTTTTTCACAATTTAATCTTTTTTTTTGTCAAAGCTGTTGTATTTTGTTTGCTTTTGTTCTTGTACTAGTTGGAAACAAAGTATAAACCATGTAACACTTTTACAATAAAGAAGCTGCATACTGGTTACCTTTATTAATTGTATCAATGCTAAATGACGCATACAAGTAGGAGACCGTAAACATCACTGCTAGATGCTTTTAGAGAAGGTGTGTTGGTGATCTGATCATTAGCCTGTTGATTATAGCAATAGATATAATATGCATAAATAGAGGGCCCCAAAATCAACAGTTGTTTAGGGTTCTATGGAGGATTGGGCCAGCCCTAAAAAAATGCTTGAATGAAGAAGTTCACAATAAAGTGCGGAGCTTCAGTGTTGCACTAAATAAAGTACACGACTATCGGACAAAATCTTGCAATGAAAAAGCAAGTAAATTGATCCCAAGATGTAGCAGATTTGCGCCGCCTGTCACAGCAGTTAGTAGCCAAGCTGCCTCCATGCAGTTTTATACAAACAAAAACAAATTGACTCTGCTCAGCATTATAGAATTGTAGTGAATTATAATCATATTATAATCATATTAAAAACAAAAAAAGGAACGATAATTATACCTGGTTGACAAATGAAGCTTCTAACAATAGTTTGAGTTGGGCTCCCTTCCTTCAGACACACCTGAAGAAACAGATTAAGGTTTGAGGCTGCCTTGTGGGACGTCTTTTAAAAACCTCTAGCTTTTAGTTGCTTTTGGAGGTATTTCTTCATCCTTTCACTGTATACATTCTATATAACTCCTTGAAATACTTACACCGTGGAGTAATAAAATTTTCTAGATCAAACTGGGGTTATTAGAGTTTCAGGCTACAAAAAATAAAAGTTCAAGATCAAGAGATGTATTGACACTGTTGCGATCCATTGTCGCTGATGTAACCGGAACTACGCCGCTCTGAAGACACAAACCACCGGCGTAGGTTTTAAAAAGACACAACTGTTTCTTCAAATCAGGGAGAAAAATCCATCCATCCATCCAATGGACAAAGTTACTGTTTCTTAAATTTCTGCTCTTTTAGTGGCCATTAAAAGTAGAACAACAGAATGATTTAGTCTTTAGGAAAAACACACAACAGGTTCACTAGAAAATCATTTACTATGTGGCATCTAGCCAGAACTTGTTTTGTTATTATGTGTCTCCTCTGTATCCTTGATGGCTGTTTCCAACTTACTGGGCTGCAGGTCCTCCGTTTTTTACCGTTTTAACTGCAGGTAACATCTCTGTGTCAGCATTTTATTCACATTTATCTGCTGCTATTATAAACGACCCTCTCAAATGCATTAAGCCTTTAAACTTTGAACATCACGCAGACTTTGAACGCACTCTTAAACCCCTCTTCCCTTTTTTTATTTCTTGAATTAGCTTATTTTCAGTAGTGTTTAGTGTTTTGCTTAGTTATTAGATATAATACTGTGTGATTGTAGCTAATAAAGGTACCATTGTATTTTTAACCCGTGGTCTTTTGTGTTCATTTTACACAGTGAACGATTTATCACTCAGGCTGGATTGACTCTTCTTTCAGTAGCATCCGAATGAGGAGAGACACATTTATTTAGTTGGTGGTTCATAACCTAAATTACTAAATTGGTGAAAGACAACTGTTTTTTTAACAGCTGGATTCAGGAGTCTAACCTTTTAGGAAAGGGGCTAAAACCCTGGTCAATAAGCAAATTACAGTTAAAATCATTCAACTGGTAATAAAAAACTAGTTTTACCCTTGATTTGAATGAATTAAATATAACTTCCAATTCAATTGATATATTCATAATCTTCTGGTAAGCTGGCACAACAGTACATTGGATCATTTTTTTATTATTGTATGCTGCTGCTTATCAGATAATACAAGGCAAACTTATAAAAACAAACTGAAATTGTGTTAGTAAAAGGCGTAACAATTTGTTTTATACTTCGATGAAGGCAAATCAGAGTTGTATGAAAATAACAACTTTCAAATCTGTTAATCTTTTATTGTATTATATGATAATAAAACTCAAAATAAGTGATTAAAAAGCCACCTCTATGATTAATCCTAAAAACCTCATATGTACCTTACGTGACAATGCAACAACAACTTAGAAAAGACACAAGTTCAAGTTCTTTGGATCACTAACGTGGTGAAATCTAAGGTCCTTCTACCTTGATGCTACTGAGCGGCTGGTTGTGTGAAGTGGAGTTCATGACCTGCTGGCTTGACCCGCTGCAGTCCGTGAAAGTCCTCCCAGAACAGCTGCTGGAAAAATCAGCAGTTTTATTCTCTGGCGTTCTGAACGTCTGAGTTTGTGTCTGGTTGTAGGCAGAGATGTACGACTGTGTGTAAGGTGGCATGAGTGCTTGACTGGTTTGCTGTGGGTAGGTGGCTGGATATGTTTGTGTCTGAGAGGGCGTGTGATTCAGAGTAAGGCTCTCTGTGTTGCTACATGGTGGAAACCCATTTATGCTTGTAGGGCTCATCCCTGGAACTTTAAAGCTCTCTATGTTTTCTAATCTCTCTAAAGAGTTATAGCCCGGCTGAGTCTGACTGCATTGTGAAAACGGGCTTTGACTAAAAGTGTAGGTGTCTTGGCCAAAAGAGGCTGCAGCAGAGGCCGCTGGCAAAGAGGATGGTGAAGGAGTTTTGTTGAGACGCTGCGGAGCTCTGTTACAGAGTCCTGTTTTAGAGGCGAGTGTTTGGAGAGTGCTGAGGATCTGCTTTTGAATCTGTGTCTGCTGCGACTGCTCCCTCTCAAGGCGGCACTGCTGTTCCACCAGCATCTTCACTGCCAGGCCCAGGCTGCGCACCTCAGAGCCAAGGCTCTGAATGTGGTCCTGTAAACTTCCCCTTCCTCTAGTATCCTGGACTGCCTGCGGCGGATTTGGATTCCCCTCACTACGAGTAGTGGGGCCTTGATTCCTGGGGGACGGCAGGCGGAGAGTGCCAGGGGATGTCAAAGGTGCCGGCAGGCGGGTGGGAAGGCGAATCCCAACGCGTGGAGGTGGGTGAAGGGAGCGGACGCTCTGTCCTGGTCTCTGTGCAGCAAGGCGTTGGGGGGAGCCATCTCCCTCTGGCTGCTCTTCCATAACATTCTGAAACAATAAAAACATGTAAGAGTATTTATGGTAAACTTGCAGGAAAAAAAATACTTGCATTTATTGATAACGGCTTGCAGGATGGGGCTATTGAGTTTATGTTTGTTCATAAAGATTCAGGATAAAAACTAAAAAACACTGATCCAAAAAATAAAAAAAGGGAGGCAATGGTATTGCTCTTAAGCCATTTAATATTTGTAGGGTTCTCACCTTTTCAGCAGTCAGATCATAGGTTTCAGACTGCTGTGGAAGAGAGCTGCTTAAACCTGAGCTTTGAACACCTGGCTGATCCCTCCTCAACAACGCTGCCACCTGGTGGAATGACTGTAGGATAGCAAAATATTAGAAAAACACCTACTTTAACAGTCTGATTAACTTTAAGGAAATCAAAAAACAGTTTGATAGTAGGGAAAACTGTTTATGTACCTTTGTCTTATGTGACAGGGCTCTGTCCAAAAGTCTTTTTCGAGCGGCTAAAATGGAACTGGTGGCTGGAGAAGGTGTGACTCTCCTTCTCAGGAATCCTCCAGAAGCAGTTAATGTGGAAGACATGTTTGGACCAGTCCCTGCTCTTGACACAGCTAACTGGGTCCCCCTTTGCTGGCCAGGCTGTGCAAGTGAGGTGACACTAACAATCTGGATGTCATTTTCCTCCTTATTTCCTGCAGGTTGCTGCTCTGACCTGCAGCTGCTTCCGCTGGTCTCCCCAGATCCAGAGGAATTTGTGTTAGTCCCTGAATTTGTGGATGCCTGTTTGGAGAACTCAGTAGAAGCTGAAAATTCAGCTCGCGGGGGCCTATCCTGTCTAATGTTCTGAAGATGAGCATTGCTCCACCTCTCTTGCATTGCTCCAGCTTGCACCTGAGGCTGTGGTGCCAATGAGCTTCCTCTGGCCTCTGGAGGTCTAACCCTCCCTGGTGGCCTCCCCTGGAACTCCCTCAGGTAAAGGTAGATGGCTTGAGCAGACACTTTGATGTTCTCCAGCTCCAGTACGGCTTTGATTTTGCGGAAACTGAGACCAGCTTTCCGCAGCTCCACCACTTTGTGTTTGGCAGCATCATCAAGTCGGCCCATACTTGCTGCAAGAGTCAGAAACATAAAAGTTACTAACGGATTTTTTAAAGCCGGTTTCCAAGGATTCATTTTTACATTTTTATTGGTTTTCATTTTTATTTAGTTTTGACCTCTGATGTCAGTTCTGTTTTACTTTCAATTTAGTTTTTATTTTAGTTTTAGTCTTTTATGTAATACGACTTATCAGGGACAAGACAAAAAAAAAACAAAAACCAACAGAAATAAAATCCAGATAAGCACAGATCACTGCAGCAACACAAATTACCCAACTGCCATCCCTGCAAGCATAAATCAGTAAAGTGGAAAAAAAAACGGCAAAAACAGCAACTGGAAAATAGACCTTATATTAATGCAGAATAATGAAGACACAAATGAAAGCTTAACATTTTCTCCCTTAAATTTGTTTTAATTTGTTTTGTAAACTTTTATTGCAGTTCAGGTTTTTTTTTTTTTTTTTGGAGGTTTTTTTTTTTATTTCTGCTTAAGTTAAACAAAATGTATTCAATATTTTGTAATGTCTGGTATTTTAAATTCTTAGAGACGAATTAAAAATGTTGGTCTCTCTATATATGATATCTGGTTATATTATTTTTTTCATATTAATAACTACCACTCAATGGTGAAAAGAAAAAAGCTAATCTTCAAGCATGTGAGGGTAACTGCTTAAAAATTTTTTTCATTGTTTGTTAACAAGTTTTTGACTAAAAGTCAGCACAATCATTGTTAAGAGTACTGGTGCAGTCTGAACTGAGAAGAAGTGCATCCAGCTCTTCACTGGTCTGCTTTGTATATTTGATATCAAAGGTCATAGCAAAAATTCTTTTCAGTAAAACAGATTCATTTTTCCAAACTAATTCATCGACAGAACCTCTAGTGGATGCAGAATAAAATGATCAGTAGAGAAAAAAACTAAGTAGGATGGGTTCTTAAACCCTTATTCTAGCAAAAGTGTGAGGAGAATCAAGACTCTCCTGTTTTGTTTTTGGTTTGTTTTTATATAAGAAATAATAATCAAAATAGCTGTCAATAATTTTTGTGTCAGCAAACACACCCATTACCTTCAGAAGTCACTTAATTAGCGAACAGAATCCTCCTGTTTGTAATAGAGGCTGTGTTCAATTTCGGCGGCTGCGTCTTCCAAAGGACACAGCCTACCTGGAAATTTGGCAAAAGTTTCACTGCCCCTCACTCAACATACACTCTGTCGCCTAGCAACCATGATAGTTGACTCACAGAGCAGGAAGAGAATGGATGCCAAACTAGTTAATTGTCATTGTTGAGGAGCTTAAGTGGCAGGACATTAGTCACAGATATCAGATTTGTAGTTTCCACAATCCACAGATATTGGAACGTGAGCTTAAATGTCAGCCAAACCAATTTTCACAGGGACAGATAAAACCTTTCAATAAACTAAACATTATCCGCTTACATATCTGACTCAATAACCATCTAAATATTCACATACTTGTATGTGGCTGATAGGTGCAATAGTTTGCGGATTCATTTATTCATTCAGTAGCCATGCATTGAGACCACATGAAGGTAACTCCATTTGCTATCCATTGTAATTGTTTTGTTTGAGTTTTTAATGAATGCTTTTTTTAATTGATAACTTTGTAGCATTTGTTTACTGTTATTTTCATTGTGTAAATGCAGATCCATAGTTTAGGTGGAATAATATGTTACTAGACAGCAAAGTCAAAACCCTGTTCAGGATATTTTAACGCTCTGCAAGGCACTTTAAATGAGAATAAAGTATATCTGATTATAATGTTGTTTGTATCCCTGAACCCAGACTAATAATCTGTTAATAAAAATTCAGCAAGACTTAAAAGCATTTCTATATCAGCGACATTGTAATAATAATCAGCGACCACATAAACCCCAGATTTATCAGTTTTTCAAGGGAAATCCAACACAGGTCTTCTTGAAGACAATCATCATGTGCAGGAAATGGACAGAGATTATTAGCTGAGCTAGCTAACAGCAGACAAAATAAAATGCAGACCTTACCCTGCGGAAGCCTGTCAAAATTGAGGAAGCTCGTTCGGTTTTTTTTTTTTGCAAAAAAAAAAAAAAATATATATATATATTTTATTGCACCTAATAGACTTGATTTAATTTTGTATGTCTACAGCACTCTCTCATACGCAAACGCGTAATCCGTTCCTTCTCTTCAAATAACGTAAAATAAACAAATAAGCGGCGCTCAATGACCTACGCAACTTCCGCTGTCGTCATCAATCAGCGACGTCCAGGCCGCGAGTGGTCCAAGCGAAGCTTTTTATTCGAAAAAAGAAATGTATGTTGAAGCTCTTCTTTCATTCAAATCAAATATTTATTCTGGTATACGATGTAGTTAATCGACTGTGGCGCATTTGGCGCTCTGGCTATATTGGTGTCTGCGTTATAAGAAGCTGTGCGTTGGGTTAACGGCAGCGGCTTGTTTTCGGGAGGCGGCGAGGGTTGAATGAAATTCAATGGCGGCCTGTTTTATCCGAGTGTCGAGCTTTTTCATAGAGAAACATAACTCGATCAAATTCTGACGTGGTTATTTTATCACACTTGCGTTATAGAACTATAATGTTTACATTTTGTGATTAAAATAATTAAAAAAATGGTAAATAAAGTTAATGATTCAATGACCAATGTGCGCTTTCTGGTAGACGTTATTTATTTTTCAATTCGAATTGCAACACTAATAATCGAGCGAGTAAGGGGTAAAGTTATTAACTATATTTGTTTCTATTTAAAACCTAAACGTCGCTATAAATCGGTTAGGATATACACAGTCCCTGTGCAAAACTAGATGAAAAATAAATTACCTTTAAGTTGTATAAGAATTTGTGTTTGTTTCAAAGACTAATAAATATGAAGTTAATCATTTCTGAATGATATAACATATTCATACTGGCACATGTATGACCAGTATGAAAATTATTTATCAATATAGTATATAAAGAGTCCTTATGGTTATCAGTAGCACAGCGTTTTAAATGGGTAATGAAATAATGCCAAATGTATTATATGGTAAAATGTGTTAAGACTCTATTCATTAACTACATATCGTCCTGCTCTAAATACATTATTACTTTTAGACCATAAGTTTCATCATCTCTTTGAGATATTTAGCATCATCATCATCATCATCAGTACTAAGAAAACAATGTTTTCTCTGCTGTATCAATACTTTGGAGCAAATAAAATATGCTCACCGGACCATCAGCTGTCATGATACTGGTCTGAGAAATTGGATGTACTGATTTAAAATGGTTTAAAATACATCTGGCTGAATGTTATCTTACTTGGCACTAGGTGCTTGATCTCATCATTTTGCTTTTCCTGAAGAGAAAGATGTCTTCCTGCAGCCTTTATTGTGCATTGAATAGGCTCAAAGTGCAGCTCTATTTAAGGAACTTTAATCAAGAACAAGTATCAACATTTTATTTTTACTGGATAAAGTTAACTTTTTTTTTTTTACAGCAAATACTATAACCTGACAATGTGGTTATGGAAAAACACTGCATAAAGATTCAAATGAGGTAAACCTAGTTAGGAGCGTTAGACTTCAGGGTTCATTCATCCATACTATCTTTTTGGACAGCTAAATTACTGGGCTAGGAAGGGGAAAAAATAGTTTTGTCTTCAGTTTCTTTCCTCAGACTTACGTTTTGCAGCCACTCTTTTCTGCTCAAGCTGATATATTTGTGTGTTCTGAGGGGGAGTGTGGGCCTAGTGGGTTAAAGTAGTGCTCTGAGAAGTACCCGGTTCAATCCCCACAGAGTAAAAACCCTTAAACCCCACACTGCTCCCTGGGCGCCACACGATGGCAGCCCACTACTCCCCAAGGGGATGGGTTAAATGCAGAGGTAAATTTCTCTAATGTTGGATCAATAAAGTTCAATATTATTCTTAGACAAAAAGCAAATTAGCATATTGTATACTAAGCACATGTAATTTTAATCTTTCCTTTTAAAACAAACTAGTGTGTTATAAATATTTAACATTATTAAGATTGAAAAAAAATGTGTAAAAACTAACAAGTGTTAGATGTGACAACTTAAGCCACTTAAAAATTTTTTTTTTTTTTTAGTTCCACTGTTTCTGCATATAAGTAATTTGGATAATTAAGCTGAAACTATTAACAGTGACTATATTTGTGGAAAATGTCAATTTTTTTTAGACATAACCACGAGAGAACTTGTGAGAGAATTTAATAATGATTTCTTGCTTTCATGTGTTCAGGGCACCATCACCCACCAAACGGAAGGAAGATGATAAAACAAAAGACAGAGGTAAAGAGAAGACTGGCACCAAGGAAGGTGATAAGGAGAGAGGAAGAGACAAAGTGAGGAAACGCCGTAGTGCTTCCTCTGGTAGCAGCAGCAGCAGCAGGTTTGCATTCTTTCTGAAAGTCTTTTTGAGGTAATACCAATGCATGATATTTTTTTAAATGAAATAATTTCTATCTTCATGGTTCTGATCCAGGTCAAGCTCATCATCCAGCAGTAGCTCGGGTTCCAGCTCAGGTTCTTCAAGTGGATCCAGCTCTTCTGGTTCCAGCCGCTCTGGATCCTCAAGCTCTCGTTCATCATCCTCCTCCAGCTCCTCTGGCTCCCCAAGCCCCAGTCGCAGGCGTCATGACAACCGCCGTCGCTCCCGCTCACCGTAAGGATTACCATAAAGTTTTCCTAATAAAAAAAAAAAAGTTTCGTAATTGGATTCACTTATTGATCAAGTGGAATCAACATATGTTTTTTTTTTTTTTTTTAGCTCCAAAACCCAGAAGAGGGGAGATGATAAAGACCGAAGGAAGCGAAGCCCCACCCCAAAACCAACCAAGGTTCACTTAGGAAGACTGACCAGGAACGTCACTAAGGTTAGTGAGTCAAAGATGAGCTTGAGCTAGTGATGTAAACAAATAATTAAGACTATCTATTAATGGTTTATTGGATTTGTTTCATCCGATTAATTGATAATGTTTAGAAATTTCTTTCAGTGCTGTAATGTTATTGTTGTCCTCTAGAACATGCTGCTATTCCAAGAGAATATTTCACATTAAATATGCAGAATGCGCTTCAAGATATATATATATATATTTATATTATTTTTTTTTTTTTTACATATTCAAACTTGATAAAAAGGATCAGACATGGCAACCATTTAACCACCTGTTTAAAGTTGCTGCTAATACAAAATCTCTCTCAGCACTGAATGCTGGATTAGGCTAAAAACAGAGATGTACATCACAATTACCATCTACTTCATTGGAGCAAGATGTCGATTGACAACATGTCTGGGTGACATATCCTGTCTGTTAAGAATAGTTTATATATTCTTATACATTAATAATCTTAAATTTTAGATATTTTGTTCATCTTTTTTTTCCTCAGTAGGTTCCCTTTTTTTTATGTCTGATAAATATGTCTGGTTTAATAATGTGCATGAAAATATTTTTTCATTCAGCTAGGACGATGAAATGATAAAATCGCATATTTACAACTTTACAATTTACAACAATTCGGCATATTATAAAAATGTATTTAGGCCATTATGTCAATAGAAATATCCTCTTGATACTAGAGAAAACTGAAGCTTTAACAAAAAAATTTGTTTATCAATGAATTGTTTGTGGATCCATAATATTAATCAAAGTCAACTTAATTGATTTATTGATAGCTTACATCCCTCCATTGGACGTTTTCTTTTCCATAAAAGATTACTCTAACCTAGCCATCAGTTGTGTTGCCATTATAGGGGTTAAAGTTGGATTGTTTATGTAAGTAATGTTTGTTGCTGCTCAGGCTCTGTCTGTTGCAGGGGTATTACTGTTTTTTATCAATACAGTGGAGGCCTGAATGCAATTTAAGATCCTATTAAAATGTTCACCGTAATCAGATATTTTCATTCTTTTATGATTTAAAAGTACTTCCACTTATACCATTTTTTTTTATTGTTTTCCCATCATCTTAACTTTCCATTTTGTCCTATAGAACAAGGTGTCCAAGTTGTGACAAATAGAAATCCTTACATCTCTGTAACATCCTTACCTGTCAGTGGGAGAAAAGAGACAAGTGCTTCAGTTGTATTTAAAAGAAGTGTGATACAGCCATAACTTTTTCATTTTGCTTAAACTCTGAAATTTAATTGCTTCTTATGGTGACTTCACCCTGATGGAGTTGATCAAGATGTTTCTTAAGTTCCTAGTCTCATAGAACTCTCATAGCCTAGATCTGCTAGTCTCCTAGCAGATCTAAACAGCATGGCACTGAACAGGTGTAGATAATTTCAAATCTACTACGTTTCCACCTGTTTGGAGATTTTTCACCTCGATTTTGAAAAACAGCTGCTGTGAAATAGTCAACTTTTGTTCTAAATTTGTTGTTTATTTTGAATCCTGTACCCACTGAACCAGCAGCACTCAGTCATCAGCTGACTTTTTTTTTTTTTTTTTTAACATTAACATCTCTATTTTAAACAACACTTTAGAAACTTACAGATCTTATCACTTGTATAAAATAGAAGTTAAACTCTGTGGGTAGAATGCTCTTGGTTAGATCATTAAAACACTTTTTTTTCTTCAAACGAATAA